CGACATTCCGAACGCTCCGGTGCGGTCTGTTTTGCCGTCAGAGGCTAATATATATATCAAATTTCATATGATTCATCCATGTGCGGCGCCTTAGCAAAATAGGTGTCCTCCGTAGGTAATTTCGACATTCCGAACGCTCCGGTGCGGTCTGTTTTGCCGTCAGAGGCTAATATATATATCAAATTTCATATGATTCATCCATGTGCGGCGCCTTAGCAAAATAGGTGTCCTCCGTAGGTAATTTCGACATTCCGAACGCTCCGGTGCGGTCTGTTTTGCCGTCAGAGGCTAATATATATATCAAATTTCATATGATTCATCCATGTGCGGCGCCTTAGCAAAATAGGTGTCCTCCGTAGGTAATTTCGACATTCCGAACGCTCCGGTGCGGTCTGTTTTGCCGTCAGAGGCTAATATATATATCAAATTTCATATGATTCATCCATGTGCGGCGCCTTAGCAAAATAGGTGTCCTCCCTAGGTAATTTCGACATTCCGAACGCTCCGATGCAGTCTGTTTTGCCGTCAGAGGCCATTTCGACGAATTCACCGATTTGCGTGTCAATTTTCTCGTGTCGAAAATATGGCAATATGGGTGTCCTTTCCTACCAAAATTGGTATCCCGGACGCGTTGGCGCAGTCCAATTTGTCGTCGGAGGTCATCCGGAGAAGTTCGCATTTTCACCCGTCCTTTGGGCTTAATTGAAGTCCGATTTCGTGCAATTTCGTGAACTTTGTGTACTTTGTGTGTGTACGTGACGAAAAAGTCGTGACGAATGTTTTCATAAGGCTTGAAGTCCTATTTGAAACATTTTCCTTGAATCTTCGCAAAATAGTCCATAACCGCTCGTTCATAAGACGATGGTCTTGTGCCAAAGATGCTAGACATCAAAGGAAAATAGGAATTGGCTGGAATTTCTAGAAGGGTGAGTCTCAATTCTAGTTTTTTAAGATGGTCCATAGGAATTTCTAGAGCTAGAACCTAGGCTCTAAGAAGGAGAAGAAAAGACCTTACAAAAATGAGGTCAACAGTGCCTCAAACATGTGTGCGTGTGTGTAATTGGTTTTCCCAATATAAGATTATGACATTTATTGTTTTAGGGATTGGGGATTACATTCCGACGATATTAGGAAGGCCCAAAAGTTTGGATTTATAACCTTTTCCTATACATTAGGTGACCCATAGAATTTTGCTTATTAATGTGAAATATTATTGGAAAAGGCTTTGAACTTGTAATCATTAATTTACCACTTGGACCGTCATCAATATACAAATATAATTTATTCTAATCTAAACTGTAGAGAATTGGTTCTAAAACTTGAGTCCTAAACCCTATTGCACATTTATTTTTATTTTTATGCAATAGTCATTATGCTAGAAAACTTGTCATCTCTACTTGCTTAATTTCTTATGGAGAATCAGGTTTATAGGTTGAAGTTCATTTTTTCCTAGCATATATGCAGTCTTTTATACTTTTTGAGATTTTTTAGGGTGCTATTTGTTTTTTTGGTTGGGAAAATGGAGTGATATTCCTCAAAATGAGTATATATAAGCACGGGCGCGCACACAATTAAAATTTTCTCAGTTTTTCCAATATTTTACCACGTTTTAAAGAATTTTCTTAATTTCTTTTAATTTTTAATGTTTACCTCTTTTTTTTTCTTGCATTGTTCTTTGATGTCTCAATTCACTTGAGCACACGTGCACATGATCTTCAAGTGATATATATATATATACATATATATATATATATATATATATATATATATACATACATATATATATACATATACATACATATATATATTGAAAATAATTTTATATTTTATCATAGTTCATTATATGTATAATGCATAAAAGTGATTGGGCATATGCATGTTTGTGCACCTATTCGTGCATGCTCACTCTTGTGAATGTCTCACTTTTTCTTGTGTGAATGTTAACTTATCATGTCCTTTGCAAGTTAGTTTGGTTCAATGTTGAATTTTTAGCAAACATATTGATAACAATAATTTCAAATGTCACCGGTTAAATAAGAGATTTTCTTTTGATTTTTACCCGAAAATACTAGAAGTCTCTTCCATACAACCATTAATGATTTCCATTTTAAATAATTCCAATTTTAAAAATAAAGTACTAGAATCCATAGCTCAATTGAAATACACATTGCAATTAAAAAATCAGTTGTAGTAAATTTTAATAAAAAATTTCATGCTTGTAAAACCAATATCGAATTATTTAGAGAAAAATGAAAAAGAAAATAAATCACTAAAATTAGAATTTCAAGCCTCAATCTAGAATAGAGAGAAGGCTTTCCTTAGAAATAGGTGTTCGCACTTGCACTGCACTTGAATAATCAAATCCGAAATCCACGCAAGTTTGGAAGGAATTAGAAATTTTATTAAGGGGTTGCTTTATTGCATTTATTGAGAGTGTACATTAAAAGAAGGTAGACTTATTGATTTTCTTGGTATGTATATTTTTTATGAATTTGAAATTCTCTCAAATTTGGTGAATGCCAAACGTAAGAAAAATCAAAACCAACGACTTCACTTTCCCCACCTATTGCTGTTGCTTGTATGTTACTACCTGCCCGTCTGTCATTGCTGCTACCACCTTTGTCTCTTGCATCACTATCATTGCTAGCCACTAGTTATTGCTGCTTTGCCTACCACCTATTGCCACTACCGTCACCCACTATTGCCCTCCACCCCCGCCCATCCCTCGATCGCCATAATCTATCCCACTCTTGACCATCGCTTGCCATAACTATCCCATTTATTATCATCTACTATTTTTAAATGCATTTGAAATTTAACATAACAAATACAAAAAGACATTTCAATGCATTTAATTTGCATTCAAGCAAACAACTCATTTATTTCTAAAATGCATTTGTTCAAATTACTCTGTACTTTGAAAATGCATGCATTTTAAAAACATCTAACTAATAGGCTTTAAGCAAAAATTTTTTTTTTCCATGGATACCTCAATACTTTATTTATAATTTTAGATTTACTCTAAATTTAATAGGAAAGTTGCATCAAAGAAGTCTTGTGAAAATAAGGTTTAATCACTGGCCATGTAAGTCTTGTTCTCTCAATGAAATGGAACTAAGAATCCATTGCACATAAACATTGGGGGATAATCTCATAAATGGCTACATGATTGCATGGGAGCAATAATGGAATTGGGATTTATGTAGGGTTGTGCGGAGTCAAATGTGAATTTGGTTATGAGACAATCCAATCAAATTATGGAAATTTAGCTTTGATGAATTATGTAGTTGATATCCATCAAGCAAAATTTGTGCATAGCTACCGTTCTTCCTATAAAGTAAGTATATAATGTAATTTAGATAAGCCTATCACTCTAGTGCAGAAGTTATCTTTGGTTTCCACCACAGCAGTCGACAAAATTTCATCATCTAAGATTGTCTTGGAGGGAAGATCTATAGATCCATATGGAAAAATGTCGAATTTAAATTCATATGTAGATTGCATAAAAGAAAGATTGAAGGAACTGGTTGCAAGTTTGTGAAATAAAGTTTCAAATACCAAAAAAGTTAAACTAATGGCAGAACAACCAAACTATTTTAATTCACAAGTATTTGTACTATTGCTTTATATGATTTTAACTGGTAATTTTCTTGTATTTAATTTCTTAGAAGCTTCTAGAATCTGAGACATTATTATCTCAACACAATTTAATTTTCACATACCCCTTATTCACATCTACTGTGAACATATAATTGTTGTATTTATTTGCCAATTGAGAATATCTTCATGCAAATCATATAAATAATGAATACGATATGAAGCCAGTAATAAAAATGCTAAAATACATATATGTCGCACAATTCTTATGTTTTATACATCCAGCACCAATACTTTCATATCTACATGCATAGCACTTAAATCTTTAATATCAAATAAAAACACCACTTTCACTTCCTTTATAAAAGTGACATGCACCATTTCATGTAAATATACATGTTTAGGCGTTATGTATGTAAATACATAAGAATTGTGTGGCAATTTATGCAAATTTCCCTAATTTCTCAAGCAAAAACTGATTTTCTTTATATGCATCATTTCTCTATTTTTAATCACACACCTATTCTCGAAATTATGAAACTTAAGAAAGCCACAGCCAGAGAAGTCAAGTGGAAATAAGGCTCAATTGCCTTGGACACAAGGTTCAATCGCTAACCTTGCTGATTAGACTTTTCGTTTGAAAAATACCCCATTTAAAACCAGAGCAATTTCCAATTCCTGCAGTATGCTGCCACAAGTCATGACGGTCCACAAAAGTAGACCCAATGATCCATCAAATGCATGCCACAGAGGATAAGTACATAATTGACTGCAGAATTGCGTGATTACATGAGAGGGTAGGGGAAGTTGGTTCTGTGTCCGTTCAAAATCAGTAATGTTGATACGAAAGAAATAGTTGAAAAGAGAAATGTCACAGAGATTAAGAAAGAAATACCTGCATTCAAATTTTTTCTCTGAACTGCTGCAAGCTATAGAAAAAGAAAAGAAAGGACTGCTCTTCTTACTTATTTTTTCTTTTCTTCGTTTGGTGGGATACTAGTACAGCCTCTTCAAAATGCAGAGTTTGGGATGCTGTTTAGATGGTTGACGGGAAGGGAATTATCTTAGATTGTTTTAAGGTGATGTTATTCTTTTTTTCTCAAAATAGTTCGACTTTGAAGTCAATATCTTTGGAAATAATGTCAAAAAAATTTTATTATATTAAAAAAAAATTAATAATGTTCTTCCCTATCATCAAGTTAGAATATGCCAAACTGGCATAAAATTTTGGTGAATGAATCACTTTCATTGAATCTGTCTATGTTGGCGGAACTATCCATTTGAATTTCATTTTCCAGCTGCTTATTCTATACCGTATTGTTTTTTTTTTAAATTTCATATTTTACCATCGCTACTTGTAAGTATTTTTCTTGTAATAATCATTTTCCAGTACTATTTCACAGAGGTATAATTATTGCACCAACTACTTCACAGTATCTTCCTCAGGCATGGAGGGGTGCAGTTGTTCTTTCTTTTGTATGGTTTCTCCATAGATGGAAAACTAATGTTTTTACCCGTGCCATCGAAAAGCCATCTGTCATTGGCCTTGATCGAGATAAACTCTTAACATTAGAGAAAATTTCATCTATGGGTCTTCTTATATTAGGAGCAATAGCTCTAGCCGAGGCATGCGGTGTGGCTGTGCAGTCAATTTTAACTGTTGGCGGCATAGGAGGTAATATTTATTGTCAATTTTGTTTTTCTAGTAAACCTTTGAATGAAATTTGCAATGTTAACACAATTCTCTATCCTTAACTTTATCTCCGTTGCAATTTGTTGTTGATGCTAGCCTGGCAAAGCTTTTTTACATATAGATTTAAGGTTGCCACAACCTGTATGCATCTTAACTGCTAGAGTAAGGATGCGTTTGGCGCAGCTTATTCTCTGCGTCCGGCGTTTTCAAAACGCCGTGTCGGCGTTTGTCCGGGCGTTCGCTCCTGCGATCGCTAAATGCAGCGATTAAAATAGGAGTCCTTCCATTCGGTCCTTCGACGCTCCCAACCTCCCGCGTTCAGCGTTCGGCGTGGGATTATTACCCCGCAGCCCTCGTCCTCCCCGAAGTCTCCGGAACAGATCGCAGATCTCCGCACCTCGCCCCGTTCCGCTGTCGTAGATATCCGCACCTGGCCCCGCAGCCCTCAATCTCTTTGCCCCGCAGCCCTCAATCTCTACCGCACCTCGGGTATGTCGTAGATCTCCGCACCTCGCCCCGTTCCGCTGTCGTAGATATCCGCACCTCGCCCCGCAGCCCTCGATCTCTACCGCACCTCGGGTATGTCGTAGATCTCCGCACCTCGCCCCATTCCGCTGTCGATCTCGTCTCTACGCTCCTCTCTGCTGTCGTAGATCTCCGCACCTCTCCCCGCAGCCCTCGATCTCTACCGCACCTCAAGTATGTCGTAGATCTCCGCACCTCGCCCCATTCCGCTGTCGATCTCGTCTCTACGCTCCTCTCTGCTGTCGTAGATCTCCGCACCTCGCCCCGCAACCCTCGATCTCTACCGCACCTCAGGTATGTCGTCGATCACCGCTCTCGTTTTATGGAAATCCAGCTACAGCTACTTCTAAAGCCTTTTTGTTTCATATGTGATCGTCGATCGCCGCAGATCGGATCGAAGTCCTGCCATCTAAATTTTTTAAAGCTTTGGTAGAATGATTTGTTTTGTATTTAAATGCCTAAACTTTCATATCTGTGACTCCTTGAATTCTTCTCTACTTGAATTCTTCTCTACTCTGAATGCATTTTTCTTTAGTGCACCTGGAATTGTGAACAAAACTCAGATTTAATGCAAGTAGAAATCTAATCACGATAAATAAAGGTATTAGAGCTAAGTTGTTTCATAAAGTCAACCAAATGTAAAGCGTTTAATTGGCCAGTTAAAAGTCTTGGCCAACAACAACATAATTATCATGAAGTTCAAAATTTCATTCATATAATCAATATTAATTAGCATTTCATTCAAAGCTTCTAGAAGATGTATAAATGCATGAACCAAGCATGGTTGAAGCTAATCAAATTAAATAAATGATAACTCAAGAACATTCTTTGGAAAATGCAATAGAAGCAAAATATAACTTACAGTTGTAATATCTAATTCAGATATTCTTGGATCTGAATTTGCACCTAAATTAGATCATATTCATCAACTTGAAAATATTGCTTAATCAAGAACCGGAAGTAAGGTTTAAAAGTAAAATTAAGGGATCCTATTTGAACATGAATTCACAATAAAATTTTTAGTCTCCTTGCATTTACATTACTTCATTTCATTTCCAAGATTTACATTATCTTTTTGACATTTATAAAGACATTGATAAAATATTTGTATCATGTTTTGTGCTGATGGGTAAACGTGGTACCTTTATGATGTATGGCACCTGGAATTGTTTTTCTTAGTGCACCTGGAATTGTTTCATTAAGGTCACTATAAGAGCTAATTGAGTTTGATGTTAAGGATGAAAATGGTAATAGAATTGAGGAGTCGGAACTTATGAGTGAGTTGCTTAATAAAAATCCATTTTCTGGAAATGTGAGGGAGGCAAGAGAGGCTAGCATTTCAAAATCATTTGAGAAGACAAAGCTTACAGATTTGATTCATCCTTTGGTTTCTGGCATATCTAATACCTGAAATTTGCGTCCTACACCATGCTTTGAGGTGGCTTGAGCTGTGCAAAGTAGTTGGGGTTATTTATTTATTTATTTATTTATTTTTTCTTTTGGAGATCCTCAACACCGTTCTGAGTATTGTTTTGATTATTTAGTTTTTTTCAGTTTGTAGGTTCCATGACATGTATGATCTTTGATTCATTTTTTTATACAACCCAACTTGGACATAATGTTTAAATGGGTTGTCGCAACAGGAAAGTTTTTATACAACCCAACTGAAAGCGGTTTTACAGGGATACCAGATGAGATCACACCTGAGCCAGTGACACCCGATGAAGAAGTTCAAAGCATTAACCAGAGGGATATGGGGGAGTCCAGTACAATTTTAAAGAGGCCAAGGATTGCTAAGAAAAATAAAGAGAAAGAACATGCTGTGAATACCTCCTTCGACCGTTTAATTGAAGCTTTTGCAGCTCCACCAATATCTGAAGCTAGCATATTAGACTGTCTGAGGCTTTTGGGCACTATTCCTGAAGTTGTGGCCAACAAACGATTTCATGCACAGTGTGTGAAAAAACTTGAGGATTCAACGCGAATGAAAATTTTCTTGGCGCTTGCGCCTGAATTGCGACTCGAATATTTGCGGGTTTTGGTGGAGGAGTGATTATTTTTATTGGTATATGTATTTGGTGGAGAAATATGATCTTTTTAGTTAAGAGACTTCTACTTATGTCGTTTTTTTTTAATGTTTGGAACTTCTAATCATGTTATCTTTTTTCATGTAGTTGTACAATCTACATATGTACCTGTCAGTAGTTAATGTTTTATTTTTAAGTTGTGTATTATATGTTTTGAATTTGTACAATAAATATTTGGTAGTGCTGCAGAAATATATTATCATGCACTAATTCTGTTTACATCTTATATTATTTAGGATGGACCCACAACGTGTGCGTCGTAGGAGAATGGCATTTGCTACAGCCATTGCAATATTGTTGTTGGATTATTACCGGAGTAGAACTCCTCGTATTCCCCACATGACATCCAGCTTTGTTGGAGATAGATGGGTTGGTGAAATGCTTTCTGGCCATCCAATAAGGTTTACAAATATTTTCAGAATGACAGTACCAATTTTTATGGATCTTTTGCACGAGTTATGCCTAAATCACGGCCTCCCGGGTTCTTCCAGAACGACGTGTAGGGTGGTGTTGACTAGAACACTGGACATTCTGTCATAAAATGAATCAATTAGAGGAGCTATGGAAAGATTTCAACATTCTTCTGAAACAATAAGTCGTTA